CATTCCTTCTAAAATTATTGCAAACAATACAAAAAAAGGGAACTCCCTAAATTATTTTATGAGACCAATATCATACTGATACCAAAACCTGGCAGAGACTCAACTAAAAAAGCAAACTCCAGGCCAATATCCATGATGAACGTAGATGCAAAAATCTTCAATAAAATACTGGCAAACCAAATCGAACAGCACATCAAAAAGTTTATCCATCATGATCAAGTCGGCTTCATCCAGGGGATGCAAGGCTGATTCAACATCTGCAAATCTATAAATGTAATCCATCACATAAACAGAACCAAAGACAAAAACCACATGATTATCAATAGATGCAGAGGCCTTCGAAAAAATCCAACAGCACTTTATGCTAAAAACTCAAATTAAACTAGGTATCAATGGATTGTATCTCAAAATAATAAGAGCCATTTATGAAAAACCCCCAGCCAATATCATACTGAATGGGCAAAAACTGGAAGCATTTCCTTTGAAAACTGGCACAAGACAAGGATGCTCTCTCTCACCACTCCTATTCAACATAGTATTGGAAGTTCTGTCCAGGGCAATCAGGTAAGAATAAGAAATAAAGCGTACTCAAATAGGAAAAGAGGAAGTCAAATTGTCTCTGCTTGCAGATGACATGATCGTATATTTAGAAAACCCCATTGTCTCAGCCCACAATCTCCTAAAGCTCATAAGCAACTTCAGCAAAGTCTTAGGATACAAAATCAATGTGAAAATATCACAAGCATTCTTATTCACCAATAATAGACAAACAGAGAGCCAAATCATAAGTGAACTTCCATTCACAATTGCTACAAAGAGAATAAAATACCTAGGCATAAAACTAACAAGGAATGTAAAGGACCTCTTCAAGGAGTACTACAAACCACTGCTCAAAGAAATAACAGAGGACACAAACAGATGGAAAAACATTCCATGCTCATGATTAGGAACAATCAATATCGTGAAAATGGCCATGCTGCCCAAAGTAATTTATAGATTCAATGCTATCCCCATCAAGATACCAATTACTTTCTTCACGGAATTGGAAAAAAACACCTTAAACTTCATATGGAACCAGAAAAAGAGCCCACATAGCCAAGACAATCCTAAGCCAAAACAAAAAAAAAAACAAAAACAAAAAACAAAGCTGGAGGCATCACACGACATGACTTCAAACTATATTACAAGGCTACTGTAATCAAAACAGCATGGTACTGGTACCAAAACAGAGACAAAGACCAATGGAACAGAACAGAGGCCTCAGAAATAACACCAAGCATCTACACCTATCTGATCTTTGACAAACCCAACAAAAACAAGCAGTGGGGAAATGATTCCCTATTTAATAAATGGTGTTGGGAAAACTGGCTAGACATATGCAAAACTGAAACTGGACCCCTTCCTTACACGTTACACAAAAATTAACTCAAGATGGATTAAAGACTTAAATGTGAGACCTAAAACCATAAAAATTCTAGAAGAAAACCTAGGCAATACCATTCAGGACATAGACATGGGCAAAGAATTCATGACTAAAACACCAAAAGCAATGGCAACAAAAGCCAAAATTGGCAAATGAGATCTAATTAAACTAAAGAGCTTTTGCACAGCAAAAGAAACTAACAGCAGAGTGAACAGGCAACCCACAGAATGGGGGACAATTTTTGCAATCTATCTATATGACAATGGGTTAATATCCAGACTCTACAAAGAACTTAAATAAATTTACAAGAAAAAAAAAACAATCCCATCAACAAGTGGGTAAAAGATATGAACAGCCACTTTTCAAAAGAAGGCATTTATGCAGCCAACAAACATATGAAGAAAAGGCTTATCATTACTGGGCATCAGAGAAATTCAAATCAAAACCACAATGAGATACCTACTCATGCCCATTGGAATGGTGATCATTAAAAAGTCAGGAAACAACATATGATAGAGAGGATGTGGAGAAATAGGAATACTTTTACACTGTTGGTGGGAGTGTAAATTAGGTTCAGCCATTGTGGAAGACAGTGTGGCAATTCCCCAAGGATGTGGAAATAGAAATACCATTTGATCCAGCAATCCAATTACTGGGTATAGACCCAAAGGATTATAAATTATTCTACTATAAAGACACATGCATATGTATGCTTATCATGGCACTATTCACAATAGCAAAGATTTGGAACCAACCCAAATGCCCATCAATGATAGACTGGCTAAAGAAGATGTGGCACACATACACCATGAAATACTACTATGCAGCCATAAAAATGGATGAGTTTATGTCCTTTACAGGGACATGGATAAAGCTAGAAACCATCATCCTCAGCAAACTAACACAAGAACAGAAAATCAAATACCACATGTTCTCACTCTTAAGTGTGAGTTGAACAATGACAACACATGGACACAGGGAGGAAAACATCACACACATGGCCTGTCGGGGGTGGGGGACCAGCAGAGGGAGAGCATTAGGAGAAATACCTAATGTAGATAACAGGTTGATGGGTGCAGCAAACCACCATGGAACGTGTATACCTATGTAACAAACCTGCACGTTCTGCACATGTACCCCAGGACTTTAAGTATAATAATAATAATAATAATAATAATAAATTAATTAAAACCAGAATCCATACAGGTATGACTATAAGGATGAAAAAGTAGACTCATAAAAATAGAATTCAACACATATACAAACTTTAACATATATGGTCATATGAGAAGTCATTTACATTCTGATAGTTATTACTATAAGCTAAAAAGTAAAGGCAATCCAGACTTCTGTCACCAAATCATTCAGTAAATATAATTTGAAATATAAAAATACTGGAATATCACTCAGTTTTAAAAAAGCAGAAAATATTCTACAAATTATAAAGATAAAACTTGATGAAATTATGCAAAATGAAATGAGTCAGCCACAAAAAGACAAAGATTGTATGGGATAGATGCATATAAAGCAGTCACACTCTTAGAAACAGAATTTTGTCTTAAAAGGTGCCCTATTTCCTTATCCTTCAACAGCAAGAAAATTTGTCAATCATTTATGACAAAAATGTCTTAATGAGAGAACCAGGTATTATGGCTAACGCCTGTAAATAACAGCTACATGGTAGAGTAAGGTTGGAAAACTGCTTCAGGCCAAAATTTTACGATCATTCTGGGTTATGGAGCGATATCCCATCTCAAAATAAGTCCCTTTAAGAGAGCTTTGAGACTCTGCGAAAGCCAAAAATAGAGAAGCGTCCTTTTCAGAAAGCAGGCTTTAATTCAGGTGGCAAACTACAGGACCCCTGCTCTTAACTATAGACCAGAAAATGTCCCACCCAACTTGGTCCAACTGAGAATTTTAAACTTACTCTGTAATCATCCCAAACTCCTTTTAGCCACAATCTATGAGAGGTCTTGCTCTTCGAGAGGCCTGGAGAAAGACACCCATTTATAGCCAGGCTGGCAGGCCTGCAGACCTTGGTCCTTGCTGTGGTCCCAAAACCAGTTTCATGACTCAGTTCCAGCTTCCTAAGCCACAGTTCATGGCCAGCTCTGCCTATGTAGAATCCCATAGTGACCTCAGAAATCCTCTCTGGTACTCAGTGAAAGTCATACTAATCCACATCCTAATATAAAACCCACCATATGCACACCTGACTGCAGAAACCTGCCCTAGTGTCTATCCTACTGAGCAAAGTCCTGAAGGATATTCACTCTGTCCAAAGATAAAATGGGAATTGCAACTACCCAAGGCCCTTGTAATAAGCCAACCCTAGTGCAGGGCCAGCAGCCTTGTGACCAAGCTACAACCCCACTTCACTATAAACCCAGAGGGCATTCTATCACCCTGGGGGCTCACCAAAGAAGATTTTTACCCTCTTAAATCAGTTTATAAAAACTTTGAGAGGTGTTTGCTTCTTCAAATTCAGACACCAATGCAAAAGTATATTGTGCCCATTGTCAATGCTTCTATTTTAACACAGGACATGAAGTATGTGGAAGAAAAACTAGTCAAAAAAATTTTTAAGTCATTGAAATTGAAGACAAATAAGTAAAACATTTTTGTTTGTATATCATGCAATGTTCTCTATAAAAAAATAAACAGCATATTAAAACCTTTTCAAACTAATAAATATACTCAGTAAATTAGCAAAATATAAAATTAACATCCAAGTTATAATTCCATACACTTAAACTATCTGCTAAAATAGAGGAAGAAAACAATCTTATTTACAATAGCACTAAAATAATGAATTTCTGAGAACAAATTTAACCAAGAAACTCAAAAACCTTTCAAGTCAAAGATTTATCAGTGAAAAATTAGAGATAATACAAATAAATTTAAATATATTTTATGTTTATCAATTCAAAGAATAAATGTTAAAGTGCCATATTATTCTAAGTGATCTGTAGATTCAATAAACTCTGTATCAAAATTCCAGTGACTTTTTTCACAGTAATAAAAAATACAATCCTAAAATTTATAAGAAACTACAATAAACTGTGAATAGTCAAAGCAATCTTAAGAAAAAAGAATAAAGCATAAGAACGTCATACTTTGTAATTTCAAACTATATTTCAAGACTATATAGTAATAAAAACAGGATGAAATGTGCAGAAAGATGAACAAAAAAAATCCACTACTCTCACACATTTCAGGGATGATGGAAAAAGAGAACTTAAAACATGGTTTAACATGAACTATCAGAAAATTATGAAGATATCTGTGTGTCCATACACACAAAATAAAGTCAGATTATACACTCTCTTACATGATGTGAACAGTACTTTGGCTGTCACTGTAAACTTGAAGGAAGATTACTGAAGGGAAAGTAGAATTCTTAGAAATTTTAAAAGCATAAGACAGAAGATGCCCCTCTGTGAGAGTAAAATTTAAAACATTTTTTTAAAAAGCCTTTCCAGAAACTATTTCTTTGAACGTGGCTTCCCAAATCACTGGCTTTCTCTTTGACTTTGGATCTCTCATCCAGGTTGCCTGTTGATTCACTCTCACCTACCTGGGGGTTTGGCCACCATCTCATTTCTCTTTATATTCCAGGGCTTTTTTTCTTGCTCCAGACAGGCGATCAGGTCTGGCTTAGAGACAGCAATACCTGTTTTATTAAAAATGAGTAACATGCATCTTGCTCATAATCTCCAATTACCAACTCAGTAATGTGCTCAGTAAAGAGGATGTAATAGAATATTCTAATACATTTATCCCAAAATACCAATTTACAACACTAATTTCTAAATATGTAGAAAGTATTTTAATTTTGTAAGTTCTTAATTTTATTACCTGGTACTATTGAATTAAAATTAGTGGTGGCAATTAGATTTTAAGGTGTGAGCAACAATATTTTATGCCAGTAAACTTTTGAAATTACCACTAATCTAAAGCGAAGGAGACAGATCAGCTCAAGAAATGTGGTAAGTTCAGGTCAAGATAAAACATCTTAGGCCGGGCATGGTGGCTCACATCTATAATCCCAGCACTTTGGGAGGCCGAGGCGGGTGGATCACGAGGTCAAGAGATCGAGACCATCCTGGTCAACATGGTGAAACCCCATCTCTACTAAAATACAAAAATTAGCTGGGCATGGTGGCATCTGCCTGTAGTCCCAGCTACTCGGGAGGCTGAGGCAGGAGACTTGCTTGAATCCAGGAGGCGGAGGTTGTGGTGAGCCGAGATCGCACCATTGCACTCCAGCTTGGGTAACAAGAGTGAAGCTCCGTCTCAAATAAATAAATAAATAAATAAATAAAACATCTTGAAGAAATTTTTTTCTACAAGGAAAAATTCTACAATTTTCTTGAAAACAGAAATCTACAAGCATAAATCACCAAAAAAAAAAAATAAATGATACAAAAAAGAAATTAAACCTATGGGGTATACTAGGACTCTAGGAATTGCATATCAAAGTTATTCTCACCCAGAAAGACCAGGTGTCTGTAGTTCTCTAACATCACACTCCTATATAAATTCTGCTGTGCCGTGTCCAGGCATTGCCACTCCTCCAGAGAGAATTCTATGGCCACATCCATAAATGTCAATGGTCCCTGCAAAACACACACAAACATATATATTTACCAAGTGGTCATGAGGAAAATTTTTAATTTGACTCAAGGTAAAACAGAGACAGTAAAGAGAACTGGTTCTGACTTATGAGTGACTAAAATTAATAAAATAATTTTCAACACAAAAATATTCTCTAATGTATTATCTAATCCGAGAAAAAAAGAGTGGTATAAGATCAATATCAGTGTATATATAATATTTTTCTGGATAATAAAGTATAATATTCAGGGCATAAACATTAATATGTACAAGGTTGAGTGCTATATTTACATCAGACAGTATTAACTGTGTGTATTTTTTAGATGGAAAAGACATGGTTGTGTATATAATTCAGATGGAATAGACATGCTGAGTTAGAAGGTATCACTCAAATTTTAATGTGTACAATAAGCTGGAGATCTTAATGCAGTTTGTTTTGTTTTTTTTAGAGATTTGGGATAAAGTCTGAGTTGCTGCATTTCTGACAAACTCATCAGTATTCAACGTTTTTGGCCCCAAAAGACTGTTTTTCAAATATCCAGTAATTAAATGAGCCTGTGTTTTTCTCAGTTTTTCTAATTTGTAAACAAAGATGAGAGCCTTCATTTTCCAAAAACAGATAAATGCAAAGAAAGCCTAAGAAAGAAGGGCAACTGTCAGATTAAATGTGATGGTTTCTTCACATCAGCTACATAAGATACTTGATGATGAAGAGGAAAATAACTAATTCTACAGTTAAAAAAAAAAAAGTGTCAGAGAGCTTATCAACCAAGTGATTTATTAACATCAACTGCAATAGAACAAAATTTTATGATGTCCTAATGTGCCCAGAAGGACACACCATTACTGCCCCCTAAAAGGTAAATTACAGTCTGAATTTAATATAAAGAAACATCAGTTTCATGGAAAGTTTAAGATACAGATATCTTCCATGTTCTGTAATTTTTTTTTTGTTTTTGAGATGGAGTTTTATTCTTGTTGCCCAGGCAACAAGAGTGCAATGATGTGATCTTGGCTCATCATAACCTCCACCTCCTGGGTTCAAGTGATTCTTTTGCCTCAATCTCCTGAGTTGCTGAGATTACAGGTATGCACCATCATGCCTGGCTAATTTTGTATTTTTAGTACAGATGGGGTTTCTTCATGTTGGTCAGGGTGGTCTCAAACTCCCAACCTCAGTTGTTCCACCTGCCTGAGCCACCCAAAGTGTTGGGATTACAGGCATGAGCCACGGTACCCAGTCCTGTTCTGTAATTTTTAATAGTGATTTTAAATAGTCTTTCTTTAGCACCCTTGAGAGCAGATATCTCCTAATTTTTTTTAGAATTTTCTGGGTAATAAATACCATACTGCTTCAATGAGCATTTTCTTAATCCTGTACTGCAAAGATACAATAAAGAACAAAGATGAAACCTCAACATTATATGTCCTCTGTCTTCACTAAAAACCCCAGGATTCCCTTAGTAGGAATTTTGAGTATCCACACCTTCCCATGTTCAACAGCCACAAAGGGAACATTTTTAATACTGCAGATTATAAATTCATGGTGAGATTTCTGCATGGCTATAAGAAGCCATAATGCAGAGAAGGCTCTAGTATATAGAAAAATATATATATTTTTCAGAGACTTTGACTATCATAAGAATTTTTAAAGTACTTAAGACAAACTCATTAGGGAGGAAAAGCACAAGTAGTGATGTACAGCTTTGCAAGTACTAAATGCATGGCATTTCAGAAAGCAGAGTAGACACAGATCTTGATCTGAGACATGTTTAGCTGAAATAAAAAAGGCCATTTTTTTTTTCACTTTCTTCTCCTTCTCTAGGATTTTTTCTCAGATGAAATTCCCTGGACAAATTACAGTGGCATATTGAGAATATGCCCTTAAAAGTGTGAGCACCACAGGTCTACCTGCTATCACCACATCCACAGGCAGAAAGACCAAGACAGAAAAATGTCACCCATTTCTATCCTTTACAGCAGAAGAGATTCAGAAACAATGAGCTGCTCCACAGAGATAAAAGTATGCTTCTCTTTTTTTTTTGTTTTCAGGAGCCATCCCCTGACATAGACACCAGCAATTTCTGCAACAATAATGGAAATATGGGCCACACTGTCCTCTACCTACCAAATCCAAACAGAGCAGGTTCTTGGACCACCCTTTAATGCAAAAATGGAACTTAGCTCTCATGAATGGATTTTGAACTCCTTCCTCATACTTAATTTTTGCCTTACCTTAGAGTCACATGAGACAACGAAAACAACATGGATGCTTCTGTGATAACCTGTTTGTCAGCTTAAACTGACTTTCTCCTTAGCTAAGAGCTGTTCAGGCCTCATGTTAGCTTCTTGAGCTGGACAGACTCCATCTTAGCTTTTTCATTTTAGTTATTCCCCTCATTAAGTATGTAACTGTAGTATGTAGCTGGGGCAGGATAACACATCCTGGAGTGCATCTGCTGATAAGAGGCTGAGTTAAGCAGTTCCAGCAGAGCCTGGTAATGCAGGTGCTGTCGAGTACCCAGAGCCCCCATATCTATAAGTTGTATGTCTTTATATGACAGCTCTAGCCTTGCACCTGGTACTGTTTTATTTCTCATGTACTAGTTTATCTTTTAACGTTTTGCTTGCTCAGCTTCTGTGATAAAATTTGCTTCAGCTAGAATCCCTCTCCCTTTTCAAACTAGGGTATAAGAAAGCCCTTAACGCTTTCCTTGGGGCCAAGAGAATTTTGGGCGTTAGCCACCTCTCGGTTGCCAGCATAATAAAGGACTCATAACACTTCCACTCAGAACAATAAACAGAATCTATGAAAAGGGCACAAGTAAGGAGAGTTCTGCAAAATAGCTAGGTGATACTAATTAAAAGCCTGGGCTGATAACTCCTTAATAAGCATTTCCTCTCAAGCTCTAATGAGCTTATAAATCACTTAGCAATTTTGGCCCCACTCTGTGAAATATAATTCTGCAGGTATGGAAAGGGTCCATAAATGGGTCTTTTAAACAAGTGCCCTATCAATAATGATGTTTCTCCCACAGGGCAATTAGTATTAGTTAGAGAAATGAAGCACAACACAGAGTCCCTTATACTCAGCAGTCTTATCACAACACAAATACTTCTGGTACAAATAAAGATAATCATTCTTTGTCTTAAAGTATTATATTCTTTGCTGACTCTTTAAAGTTTACAGAGAAAACAGAAAGCAGCAATTTCTGAGTAAGTTTGCATTTGGAAACAACGTATGCACATGAACTAACGCAATATTTATTAAGCAAGTATTATGTGCTCAAAAGGATGTTACAGAACACTATGACAGCACATTATGTGATTTAATACTAATAACACCCTGTGAATTGATACTAAGTGTTCAATAATTCCAAGGCTTTAAATAGAAGATCTAACATTTTTATTTCTATTTCTGTTTATCTGTCATTAATTTTTTTCAAAAAATGCATAGAATAAAAGCTAACTATAGACAAATGAGGGGAATACAGGTGGAAAGAGTTTAAAGCAATTTACATAAATTTTTATTGTGTTTATATTTACTTTCTTGTGACTTGTGAATCAGCTACTAGATCTGCAGGAACAGAAAACAAGTAGCCAAATGGAATGTCGCTGCAAGCACTCGTTTTAATAAAAAAATTAAAAAGACCATATAATACATACTTTTTATTTCCCATTTATCTGCTTTTGGGCTCCAGAAAATTTTGAGCACCAGCTCTAAGAAGGCAACAAAATTCATAACCCAAAACTCTGATCTCTTCTAATCAGTTCTGTGAGGCAAGACTCCAGGGTAGGGCCAGATATAAATAAGGCCTCAAAAAAGCGTGACTAGGAACATGGCTGGGGCAGGGTGTAGAGCCAATGTATAATTCTGTTCTCTATACCACTGGAAGGTATTTTCAGTTCTTTTTTTTTTTTTGAGTCGGAGTTTCGCTCTTGTTGCCCAGGCTGGAGTGCAATGGCGCGATCTCGGCTCACCGCAACCTCCGCCTCCTGGGTTCAGGCAATTCTCCTGCCTCAGCCTCCTGAGTAGCTGGGATTACAGGCACGCGCCACCACGCCCAGCTAATTTTTTGTAGTTTTAGTAGAGACGGGGTTTCACCATTTTGACCAGGATGGTCTCGACCTCATGATCCACCCGCCTCGGCCTCCCAAAGTGGTGGGATTACAGGCGTGAGACACCGCGCCCGGCCCCAGTTCTTTTTTTTTTTTAAGCTTACTTAAGAGAAACTTAAATCTGAGTTTGTGTAATTTTAATCTTTTTCAGACACTGCCCTGTAAACTTTATATTATATACTAATAAGCAATTAAAAAAAATGCCCTTAAGGTTTTCTAGAATAATATTTTAGAAGAAAAATACGTATTCTTAGCAGGGTAAAAGAAACACAAATAATATGCCAGGAGCAGTGGCTCACGACTGTAATCCCACAACTTTGGGAGGCTGAGGTGGGTGGATCACGAGGTCAGGAGTTCAAGACCAGGCTGAACAACATGGTGAAACCCTGTCTCTACTAAAAATACAAAAATTAGCCAAGGATGATGGTGCATGCCTGTAATCCCAGCTACACAGGAGGCCGAGGCAGGAGAATCACTTGAACCTGTGTGGCAGAGGTTGCAGTGAGCCGAGATAGCACCACTGCACTCCAGCCTGGGTAACATCAGAAATCACAATATAAAGAAAGTGGCCCAAATAAAGCCCAAGTTATTTGTACATATCTATTTATTGTACCCACCATATGATGCATAATTCAACCATTTATCCAGTTGCTAGTCTAGACTAAAACTTCCAGGATGGTGGGGACAATGACTGATTCTTCTTTTTTTGAGACCGAGTCTTACTCTGTTGCCTAGGCTGGAAGGCAACAGCATGATTTCAGTTTACTGCAGCCTCCATCTCCAGGTTCAAGTGATTTACCTGCCTCAGTCTCCTAAGTAGCTGGAACTACAGGCATGAGCCTCCATGACCAGCTAATTTTTGTATTTTTGTAGAGATGAGATT